AGCGGGGAAAGAAGGAAGGGGTGGGGGGGGGGAGAAACATGTATGTGAGGGAGACACATCGATTGGTTGCCTCCTGCACAGGCCCCAACCGGGCCCGGGGATAAAACCTGCAACCCAGGTCTTGTGCCCTTGACCAGGAATTGAACCCGCAACCCTCCGGTGCCCAGGCCCACGCTCTAACCACTGAACAGCACCGGCCAGGGCCACATTAACATCTTGGATTCAGGAACCCTACTCCTAAAATTTTAGTCCGCGTAAATAACTCAGCAGAGGGAAAGCAAGCGTTCAGACAGTGGGAAAATCTCAGTGATCCCTGATACAGGCTGTGGCTCAAAAAAAAAACCAAACCTAACGAATTTTGGCGCCACCGGTAGTTTTACAGCTGCACTTGGATGAGGCGCTCTGACTAAAAGGCATTGGCTTGTTGAGCAGCTCTGAGTGATCCTTTCAACTTGCTTTCATTTCATTTTTGGTTTTTCGGCAATTAATGAAGTTGAACCATTTTTCCGGTTTGCTGAATGTATTTACAGGATCATTTGCAGCCCTGGACTTTTGCCTTTTTTTGGGTTTTTTTAGTATGCTTTTATTGCATAGAGAGAGGAAGGGAGAGGGAGAGAGAGAAACATCGATGAGAAAGAAACATCCATCGGCTGCCTCCCGCCCGCCCCCGACTGGGGATCCGGCCCGGCACCCGGGCCTGTGCCCTGACTGGGATTCGAACCAGGGACCTCTGGGTCATAGGCCGATGCTCCGCCACTGAGCCACACCGGCTGGACTTTTGGCTTTTCATAAACCATCACCTCTCGTGCCTTCTTCACCCGCCCTGGTTCCCAAGGGTGTCGTCGTAAGGATTCAGCGAGATACCACGTGGGAGTGTAGCCTGAACAGGGGCCGACCCACAGCGGGCACAAGGGACTCTGTGTCCCTAAAAGATACAAAAGCGCCAATAAATTCCGTCGGTCAGACCTTTTCTTTCTTACCCTCAGGGACCCGAGAACATGTACTTGTTTGTTTTATTACTGAACACACAGAAAAATTTTCATTTCAAGGAATTCGATGTAACGTCAGTGTTTGCAAATAAACCAAGAACCAGATCTAGGAGGAATTAAACTCTGCGGTTTAATTCTTTTCTATGGTTTTAATTACTATATAAAGTCCCTGTATGCGAGAGCCTTTAGATGCATTAAGAAAAATTATTTTTGAAGTTCATTGTATTGTTTCAAAAAATAATCTCCAACCCCGATGTGCCTTTAAATATAACACAAAATCGGTTTTGCTGATGTTAGTTAATTCAGTTGTTTTTTCATTTTTCAAGCTTAGAAAACCTAACGGCGCCGGTGACCGGTGCGCTCTGGTTGGGTGTTTCTGGTGAAGTGTTTCTCCTCTGACTCTTGTCCCTCCCGCTTTCGCTCAGGTTAAAAAGGCCTTCTTCGCCCTAGTAGCCAATGGTGTGCGAGCGGCGCCGCTGTGGGAGAGTAAAAAACAAAGTTTTGTAGGTAAGCGGGGCCGGGCCCGGGAGAAGCTGCGGTGGGGACCCTCACACGGAGGCCCGCGGCGTTTCCAGAGGTGCCGGCGGAATGCACCCTGTAAACGCCAGCAAATGGAAGGGCTTCCTCGCTTTGACATCCGCTCGTAACTTCACAGTCGCTCGCCTGCTTTTACTGCGTTTCCCTTGATTCAGCACCTGGTGTGTCTGGAGGATCCGAGGTGCCTGGTCCCTTGGGCCCGGGGACAGGGTCTGAGGGGCAGGCTGTGGGCAGAGGACTGTCTGTCCGCCACCCGGGCTCAGGTTTCCACGCCTGCGGCCCCTCCCAGCTTCCTCGCGGGCGGGGAGGGGGGGGGGCACCTTTACAGGGCAAACGAAACCATATAAAAGTGACCAGGGCCTTTGCTGAATCACTGTTATCCTATTAACACCTCGTGTCACTTACAATATCTAAACTCCGTAAGTCACATCCTGGAGGTCAGAGCAGACCCTGGGCGTGGCCCCCGCCGGAGCCCAACTCACTGCTGTGAAGAGGTTACCGGTTCCTCTTGCGGTCCTGGCATCTGGCCCATAGTAGGCACTTTCCACATACCGGACGGATAAAACCACTGTTTCCAGGATGCTTCTCAGGAAACCATCTAAGTGCCCCCAGAAGCATCATGTCTCTAGAGCTCTGCCATACCTGATCTTATGCTAAAGTATTTTAAATTGTTTACGTGGAGCGGCAAGCCGTCTGTGATGTTTTATCGCAGTCGTCGAGTTTTCTCTCGTGGACTTGCCAAGTACTGCGATTCATTCCCGCGACCAGTTTCGGGTTCAATTTCGGCTAAATTTGGGTATCTCGGCTTGCTGTGGACAATTAATGGATTAATAGCTGGAAATAACACGTTAAACTGTGCTTGCTATATATACTTTAGAAGCTGTCTGAGTCGCTCTTCCAGGTTTGCCTGTCATTTGAAATTTTTCTCTTTATGTTTTCACAGTTCCCTGTGTAACATGCATAATTCTCTGTTGCAGGAATGCTCACAATTACAGATTTCATAAATATACTACATAGATACTATAAATCGCCCATGGTAAGTACCAGAAACCCTTACGTCCGTGACTGGGGCCGTGTACTATGTACGTGTACAGGGGTTGTGTGCGTGCATTTTAAGATCCTCTGAGAGGTTGTTTTTTTGGGTACAGGGGCCCTGCTGGCGGTTGACTTTTCGAAATATATACAATGTGCAGGGAACCTCCGTGTGAATCGCTCTTATGTTTGGAGCTTCAAGGCGGCCTCGGGAGAGATGAGAGGCAATAGCTTCTGTATTCGGCTTCGGGAACTCCCGGGCCGTGGCGTTCGTGTCCCTACTTACTGCCTAGACGTCCGTAGGTGTCGCTAAGCGCATGACCTTCAACAGCTCGTTCCTGTGCTGAGGCCCCTCCCACCACGCGTGTCCTTGGTCCCCGCATCCCCGGCTCCTGTCCCCTTTCCGTGCTCCGGGTCGCGAGGAAGCCTTATCGCCCTCCGATCTTCGCCGAGCGTCCGTTTCTGTGAAACCCGCCCGTCACGTGGGGTCTGGCTGGAATCCGGGCCCACGGGTTCCTTACCTGGCCTCTCTTCCCCTCTGCTCTCTCTGCAGCCCCGTACTGAGCCTTTTATTTTTATTTTTTTTAATGTTTTCATTGATTCCAAAGAGAGGAAGGGAGACGGAGAGAGAGAGATAGAAACACCAATGATGACAGTTATTGATCGGCCGCCTTCTGCACGCCCCCTCCTGGGGATCGAGCCCACAACCCGGGCCTGTGCCCTGACCGGGAATCGAACCCTGACCTCCTGGTTCATAGGTTGATGCTGAACCACTGAGCCACACTGGCCGGGCCATACGGAGCCTCTTAAGTGTGACCTGATATATAGGGTGTCCCCCCAAAAATGTATACACACACTTCGAATAATTATTAAAGGCAGTGTTTATGCAAATATATTTCATTTTCAAAATTGAGCTCTCAGCTGTTCAAGTGTGTGTGCATCTTGGGGGACACCCCGTATATTCTTTCTTCGGTTGTCAGTGGCACTTCTCTATAGGACTGTTGGCCGCCCGCTAGGTTGGAGGCTTCAGGAAGAGGCCAGGTTCCTACTGCAGGCGCCCCCACGGCCCCCATAGGGTGCTGGGCGAGGCCTGGTCGTCTTGTCCAAGGCTGAGCCGGACGGGGCCGCGGAAGCGGTGACGCAGAGCACGGGCGTCGAGGAGCGGGCCCGCTCCCGAGGTCTCGGACGCTGACCCTGGGAGGCGTCTCCGGCCGGCTGCTCGGGAGGGGAAGCGCATTCGCAGAGGTCACATAGTGGGGCCCGGAACAGCCGCTCGACGTGGTAAGGCAGGCGGGGATCTGAAACAGAGCCGGGGGCTCCGGGGTGACTGCAGCCTGCCCTTGAGGCCCCCAGGCCCGCACCCTCTGCCTTCGCCAGGGTGGCCCGAGGTGGCCACACAGCAGCCGATCTGACAGCGACGCCTCAGCTCAGGATCTAACCAGTCGAGTGAGAGATGCTAGGGACCTCCCGTAGCCTCAGAAAGAAGGAACGAGTGTGCCTGGCCGTGTGTGTGAAAGCGTGCCAGAAGTGTTTAATGAAAATATATTAGGCTGGTTTGTTGCGTTTAAAATTGATGGAATATTTCTCTTCGAAGAAATATTAGCGCGTCCTGTTTCGCATTTATATTTCCAATACTGCCCTGCCTGTGTGGCTCACTGGTTAGAGCGTCGGCCCGCGGACCCAAGGGCCTCCGGTTCGTTTCCGGTCAAGGGCACGTCCCCGGGTTGCAGGTTTGATCCTGGCCCTGGTTGGGGTGCGTGTGGGAGGCAGCCAATCGATGTCTGTCTCTCACGTCGATGTTTCTCTCTCTCTCCCCTCCCTCCCTTCCACTCTCTCTAAAAACCAATGAAAAAAATATCCTCAGGTGAGCATTAACGTACATACACGTGTGCGTGTGCGTGTGTGTGTGTAAATGTCCAGTGTTGAAATATCTTGATTGTTTGCATCCGCTGAATTGTAGGAGTCAGCAGGAGCAACAAAANTGCTGAATTGTAGGAGTCAGCAGTAGGAACAAAATAATTCCTCTCCTGTTGTATTAACATTTGTAAATCAGAGTTTTTTCTGACTTTCAGGTACAGATTTATGAATTAGAGGAACATAAGATTGAAACGTGGAGGGGTAAGTCCTCTTGGGCGTTTAAAATTTTCTAACATCAGAAGAAAAGTTAAACTTGGCATACGAAATACGGTTTCATTTCAGAGACCCTTCCCTCTCCGCATAATGACAAAGCACATTGATTAAAACGTTTGTTTCCGTCTTCATTTTGATAGTATGCCGCCCGGCTGTGCGGACTACCTGTTTTGTTTAATGGAAATGCACCGAGAGCCTGTAGAGGCGGGGAATGCGAGGGAGTAAGGCGCCCAGCGCCCAGGGCTCTGCCCCCAGGGAGCCCGGAGCCCCCGCTTCAGCATGAAGTGTTGCCCCCAAAAAACTTTGCCTTTGTATAGAAGATGCACCAGAGACGTGCCTAAGACTAGCAAAAGCAAGGCCCTGTTCTTATTTAAAGTTAATAATTATTTCTTTACCTATTGTGGAGAAACAAGTGAACCTTGAATGAGATGGGATCAGATAACATGAAATTAATGTCAGCGTTGCTCCCTTTTGTTGGTAACAGTAAAGTTCCCCCTTTATAGTTGCGGTAGCCTTTCTGAAATGGAGCCTTTTTTTATTTTATTTTGTTATTTTATTTTATTTATTAGTATTTAATTTTTATTTTTCCGAGAGATAAACATGAAACCAATGCATTTTATTGGAGCCGGGTTTTTTTAGTTCACGTTGCTCGATTGCGAAACGGTTGTGTTGATGAGTTGCATCCACCGTCCTGGGTTGGGGGGCGGGAGGGGCAGGGACTGTCAGCAGGAGCCTGCACACACAGGCCTGGCGGGCTTCACGGCGGAGGGGGCCTTTGCAGGTGTTGGGAGGGGGAGCTGGAGAGAAACGGAGGGACCAGCTGAAGGAAGATTTTGAATTTAAAATCGAAGTTTAACTTTGTACTTCCCGTAATCCGCTTGGTGAGATAATCCGCCTTTGCGACTGCCCGTGAAACCTGAACCTCCATTAGAATTCCCTCAAGGGCTAGGGGACCGTTCGTTCAGTGCGATCTAGAAGTTTCGTGGGGCCATAGACTTGATTTACGATGGCTTTGTCAGTTCAAACTAAACAGAGTCGGCGTGGGGTCAGTATCTGAGCCCTGCCCATTGGGACGTGAAAATACGTGTAAATTAACAACAAGACATTTACTCCTTACCAACGTCTACTATATGTGTCGTTAGACCAGGTTTAAGTGTATTTACATTTTGGCATCACGTGGTTGTTCAGTAGTAATAATACTACTAACGTCAGCACACCCTTGAATGCCTCCTGTAGGGAAACGTCATCAGTAAATCAATTAGTGGACCTGTATACAAAGATAATTTCCACATACTAGAAAGATTCCCCAGGATACGGCGACTTTTGAGCATTGGTTTGGTAAAATCAAACGTAAGAACATTTCAAGAACAAAGTTGGTTACAACTTTTATTTCTTTTAACTTATAAAAATTAGTTTCCAAGGGCTTCATTAATGCTCCCTCTCCTGAGGGTGGTAGTAACGTGGTGGCACCTAGCGCCCTCTGCTGGCGGGCGTTGTTGCTTTTTATCAGATTCCCTGGCTTCTCATTTTTAAGGTGTCTCTTGCAATACTATTTTTAAATATTTCACTTTTCCACAAAGGCGACATCCTGAGAGCAGTTTGGGAGTTGTTTAAAATAGCCATAACTGTCATGAACAAGATAGGTTTCAGTAGGTTAAATTCGATTTGGGTTTTTAATCCAATTATCATCTATAAACTGAAGCGTATTTTAATTTATGTAATAATTGCAAACAGCAAATGTGTTACTAATTACATCTTTTCTTTCCATAACCACAGAGCTTTATTTACAAGAAACATTTAAGCCTTTAGTGAATATCTCTCCAGACGCAAGGTAAACTGGGACCCTTTCTCTCCTTTGAAACATTTGTTCAGATTCTTCTGTTTCGTTAGCATGATTGATTGGTTGATAGATTTTTTTTTTTTTTTGTAAACTAGATAAGGGCCAGCCTCCTTAATTCCAGATATTAAATTCAGTAAGTGTNGCCCTTTCTCTCCTTTGAAACATTTGTTCAGATTCTCCTGTTTTGTTACCATGATTGATTGGTTGATAGATTTATTTTTTTTAAATCTAGATAAGGGCCAGCCTCCTTAATTCCAGATATTAAATTCAGTAAGTGTAGAGACAATAGAAAGCACAGCCGTTGTTGGTGCAGGGGGTTGATAGTGGACTGGGAAGATGGTCATCCAAAGCAGTTTTGAAATCCAGATCACCTATTGCAGAAACCCTGTAGGGAGCTCGTTAAAGCTACATAATCCTGGGCTCTCCCCGACCTGTGAAATCTCTGTGGAGAGTAGTGCCCGGGAATGTGCATTAGAACAGCTCCCCCAGCGGTTCCCACGTACCCTGAAGTTGAAGAATCCGCCTCTATTAGCCGTTGGCTCTGGGACTTTTCCACGTTTGCATGAAAGCATTCTTAGCTCTAGAACCCCAGCGAGAAAAAGTGGAATATTGATTTTTTTCGTATTTTATTTCCAAGTCCCAACAAACAGATACACCCACCACGCCTCCTGGTTGGTGGTCACAGAAGAGGCCAGAGAGGCCCAGAAGTGGCCGGCCCAGCAAGGGAGCAGCCAGGGGCCAGTCGGGGTCCCCCCCCCCCNATTAAATGTGCCACTACAGAACCTCCAGAGATGTGTAGCTCACACTTGAGATTTAGTAACACAGATTGTGGGGGGAAATCGGAATATTTACTGAGTTCTCCAATTTAAAACTTTTCCAAGGCCCTGTTTTAAGTCGGTCAGCCTCTTAGGATTTGAAAGCAGGGATGGTCCAGAGCTTTCTAATTTGTCCTGAAAGCCTCCTAACAACTTCACTGGCTTTTCCCGCAGCCTCTTCGATGCTGTAAACTCGTTGATCAAAAATAAAATCCACAGATTGCCCGTTATTGACCCTCTCAGTGGGAATGCACTTTATATCCTTACGCACAAAAGAATCCTCAAGTTCCTCCAGCTTTTTGTAAGTAGTTTTTAGTGTTTCTAAACACGTAGTTGCATCTGCTTTCTCAATGAATTTATTTCAAGTGAACGGGGTCCTGTTTCCCTCCGTCGCAGAAATCATTAGTGTTGAGGCCTCCGTGGCTAAGCTTCAGTTCCCTCCGCTTAAATGCTGTTTGTACTTTCTTGAAAGTTGATTCTGATTAAAAAGCAGTCGCCTTTCACGGCAAAAATAATAATTATTTTATTATCATCAAAATAATGAAAACACTTGGAATTCTCTATTTAAATTAGAATATTTTACCGTCTAAAATATTCTAATTTGCGAGTCAGTCTAATTAAGGAACTGCTGCTACGCAAGATAAGTGGAGCCAGTCGTTACAGCAAATTGCCTTGCGATGCTTTATGGGGATCATGGGTTTGGAAACATATCTTCAAAAAAGATATGTTTTAAAAAACATATATGTTCAAAAACATATCTTCATTACTATAAGAATTAACTTCTTATAGTAATGGCAACTGTGAGAGAAAAACCCAAAGCAGGTAAAATTTGGGCAAGAGAGTACCATGTTGGTCCAAATTCTGGCTGTGTCATCTGTCAGGTTTCTCAACGGCATTTGAAAGGAGATGATTTCATAATTGAAAAACTTAGACCCTTTTGGTCGGCAGGTTTCAAAGAGGCTCAGAGGGACTGGAGTGTCCACAAGAGGACTTGAATTTTTGCTCTTAATGGCAGGCACTGAATTGGATTTTTTTCTTTTAAGGGCATGCACTGAATTTGAGGTTCCAGGTAATTGGTCAGCTAGGACCAGTAGGTGGCCTCACTCACGGTTCAGAAGACACCATTTGAAGAGTTGTGGGGTTTTTTAAAGAAGATACTAGACATTAAAAATGTGCGTCAGGCCCAGCCGATGTGGCTCAGTTGGTTGAGCATCAATCAACCCGTGCACCAGGAGGTCACCCGTTCAATTCCCGGTCGGGGCATGTGCCCTGGTTTGCGGGCTTGATCCCCAATAGGGCGCATGCAGGAGGCAGCCGATGGATGTTTCTGTCTTTCTCCCTCTCCCTTCCTCTCTCAGAAATCAATAAAAATGTTTTTTTTAAAATATGCATCAGATCAGCTCTCCCATTGCCTACCCCACAGCCTCAAATAAGGCGATGAAATGGCATTCTGGTCACGGAGGGTTTCGTTACAGGGAGAAACCCGTCCCTCAAACCAGTCCCATATTTTAAAAGTTTGCGTGGAAAAATAACAGCCTTCGTGTTAAAATTCATGCTAAGGAAGTAGGTAGGAAAGAGAAGAGACGTTTACAAAAAGGCATGAGGCTTGGTAGAAGGGCAGTCCAGGGAAGAATTAGGGACAGGGGGCTGTTGTTGGTCACGCCTGACATCGCTCGGGCTGGGAACACAGTCGCCTTAGCACTGAGCTTTCACGGAACGGGGCGGGGTGGGCATGCAGGGCCCACGGGGCCAGGCTCGAACCCATTAAGCCTCAGAGACAGCGTTTTAAAGCAACACTCATCACGACAGCTAAATACTATGAAGCATTTACAGTAAGCCAGGCGCTATCCTGAGCACTTCCCATGATAAATCTACCCTCTCAGGTAGGCATTTTTATTAATCCCGTTTTATAAGTGATGAAACCAGGCGAGGCTGAGTGACTGCCACGGTCACTGCTGGCAGGCTGGCCAGCGGCCTCCCTTCGCCCCACCCCGTCCCCACCGTGCGCGGAGGCCCGTGGCTCGAGG